GCTCACTCTCTTAATTCACTAATCATTCTAAATGCATTCTTGCTGTTACAAAGCCTGAAACAGATTACATCAAGTTACCCATGTGATTGGAAATCAACATCTGTGATTTTTATTTTATTTTTATTTTTAAAAATATTTTTCTTTATTGATTTTAGAGAGAGAGGAAGGGAGAGGGAGAGAGTAATAAAAACATAGATGAGAGAGAACACTGATTGGCCACCTCTTGTATGTCCGCTACTGGGGATCGGGCCCACAACTTGGACATGTGCCCTGATTGACTGGGAATCGAACTGGTGACCTCTTGGTGGATGGGTCTATGCTCAATCAGTGAGCCACACCAGCCGGGCAACATCTATGATTTTTATTGTTCTTTTTTAAAATTAATTTATTTTATTTTATTATTATTATTTTTTATCCTCACCCGAGGACATTTTTCCATATTTTGTTCAGATAGAGTGGGAGGGGGGAGAGAGAGAGAAACATCGACGTGAAAGGGACACATTGAGTGGCTGCCACCCGCACAACCCAACCAGGACCGGGGACAAACTGCAACCGAGGTACCTGCCCTTAGCGGGAACCGAACCCGGGTCTCTCTGGACCTCAGGCCGACGCTCTAACCACTGAGCCAAACCGGCCAGGGCGGGTTCATATTTGATTTAACTTTTGTCCATGGTGCCTTATTATGTATAACATCATTCTCCTGATGGACATTCACATGGGTGGAGGAATCCTTCAACTTCCCCCACTTGGGCAACTACAACTCTTTGAGGTACTGCACCTTCACCACCACTATTATCATCACCACCATCACTATCATCACCAAGAACACCACCATCACAACCACCACCACCTCTACCACCACTGGGTCAATGGTTCTGACTTTGTTCCTAGGACCAGAAGCAGCAGAAGCACATGGGGAAATGTTAGAAATGCAAATTCTCAGGTCCCACTCCAGAGTTAGAGAGCCAGACACTGGGTATGTGACGCCCTTAGGTGATTCTGGTGGATGCTAAAGGTGAGGGCCACTGCTTTAGAGGAATTTCTAGGCTGCCCTTACTTTAAGTCAGACCTTCCACAATGCATCCTCCAAATTTGTGAAAGTTATGTCAATCATATGAAGTAGGAAGAGAAACAAAACTACTTTGAGTTATCTAGATAATAGGAGTAATATTTGCTAACATTTATTGACACATGGTGCGAGGCACATCCTGGCTTACTGCTTTCAACAGCTTTGAGAGGCAAATATTATTCTTACCTCCATTTGACAGGTGAGGAGTGGAGACTCTGAGAGGTGATGTAATTTGTCCCCAAGGTTATACAGGTTACACAGAGGGAAACTGGAACAGACATATTTAGCTCTAGAATCTTGCTCTTTTTTCAATTTTTTTTCTTTATTGATTTTAGAGAGAGAAGAAGGGAGAGGGAGAGAGAGAGAGAAACATCGATTGGCTGCCTCCTGTATGCCCCCCACTGGGGATCAGGCCCACAACCTGGGCAGGTGCCCTGACCAGGAATTGAACAGGTGACCTCCTGATGCATGGGTCGACGCTCAGACACAACGGCTGGGCCAGAATCCTGCTCTTAATTACTGTTAAATATGTTAATTGCCAGAATCATAAATGTGAATCTAGGAGATTTGTACAGCTTTAGTCAGACTTACTTCCCCAGTTAGTTTAAGGAGAAATAGGCCCAGAATGACTTGCCTGAAGTCTAGTTCTTACTGCCTAATTAGCAGGCTAGAACCCAGGGCCTCTGGTTTCAAATTAAGTCCTCAATAAGCCCTTTGGTGAGTCAGAGGTATACAAGACTATTCCACACACCTTTGGAACAGAGTGGGTAAAAAAACAGTAGGAAGTTGGGAAGGGGTAATTAATGGCTGGCCATATTTGAAATCAGAGGTGATAGGGATGACTTGTCTTGGGAAATGCAAGCGGTCTGTCGTATCTTGTGAAAGTGGGAAATGGATTATTAGTTAACAATGCAGGAGTAGCCAAAAGCCACTCCCCATTCCTGTCTGTATCAGCAGCCCAGGTCCCCACATTTCCAGGCACTCTGAGTGGCAGTCACACTTCCAGCAGGAAAACCACACTTGGGCATGAGCCCTGTCCCTGTTTTTCTCTCCCCAGGCTCCTCCTCCTTGTGAGGCCCACAGATCACCCCTGGGCTGACCTTGATGGAAGCCTGTCACCCACATACAGATCAGGATTGTGTGTTTGGAGGTGACTGTTGTACCCAGGGCGGGCAGCCAGCCTCATAACCCTACAGGCACAGCAGAGGACCTCTGGGTCTGCTCAGGCTCTGATGACTTATTTCCAAGTTCTGTTTCTCTCTTCTTTGCTCTCTAGAACCACTTGACCTTCCTTTGGTTCTTCAAGGTTAAAACAAACACCCTCCCCCTAAACCCTCACAGCTAACTCCTTCCTATTTTAGGGCTTTTTTCTTTGTGTTTGAACATCCTCACACCCACAAGGCCTCTCTTCCTCTCCACAGTAGCCACATCCTATTGGTTCTCCCCACCTTCATTTCTTTCAGGGCTCTTGCCACACTTTGCAATTGCCCACTGTGTTCCCCTGTGCAGTCTCCTTCACAAGTGGCCAATGTGTGTCTCCAGGCTGTGTGTCTCCACTCCTCAGCCCAGCAGGTGCCTAGCTCAGTACATATTACTTGATAAACATTAGATTCAGCTTAAGGGATACTTAGGAGCTCAATAAGTATTAGTTGAATGAATGAACATGGCCTTTCAGAAGCTGTTTCCCAAGGTCCAAACCCATTCCCCAAATTGATGCAGCCTCCGCCGCCCACCCTGCCCTCAACTGAAAAGCCTACCGGTGTTCACAACCGGCTTGCAATTCCAGGCCTATTTCTGGGTTTTCACGCTCTTTGTATGGAAAGCTACAGAGATGTCAGTGAAAAGACAGACTCGCGCAGGTAAGGGAGAGCGTGGAGCGCGCGTTGGAGCTTTGTGTTATACTAGAGACCCAAGACCCGAGGGCTAGGTGAGCCTCAGCGGGTGTCCGTACCACGTCACTTTAAGGGGCCGAGCCAGAGCTGGCGGGCGGGGCGCTCGCGGAAGACGCCTGCCGCACGGCCTCAGCTCACCGCGCCGGCTCCCCGCCCACCGCGCCGGACCCTCGGCCCTCTGCACTCCCTCCCGGCTCTGGGCGCCGGAACCCCGGCTCTCGGAGCTCCGATCCCCGGCCTTCTGCACCCCCTCCGGCTCTCGGCGCTCTGATCCCCGGCCCTCTGTACTCCCTCCCCGCTCTCTGCGCCGGATCCCCGGCCCTCTGCACTCCCTTCCCGCTCTCTGCGCCGGATCCCCGGCCCTCTGCACTCCCTTCCCGCTCTCTGCGCCGGATCCCCGGCCCTCTGCACTCCCTTCCCGCTCTCTGCGCCGGATCCCCGGCCCTCTGCACTCCCTTCCCGCTCTCTGCGCCGGATCCCCGGCCCTCTGCACTCCCTCCCCGCTCTCTGCGCCGGATCCCCGGCCCTCTGCACTCCCTTCCCGCTCTCTGCGCCGGATCCCCGGCCCTCTGCACTCCCTTCCCGCTCTCTGCGCCGGATCCCCGGCCCTCTGCACTCCCTCCGGCTCTCGGCGCTCCGATCCCCGGCCCTCTGCACTCCCTCCGGCTCTCTGCGCCGGATCCCCGGCCCTCTGCGCCGGATCCCCGGCCCTCTGCGCCGGCCCCTCGGCCTTCTGCACTCCCTCCAGCTCTGGGCGCTCCGATCCCCGGCCCTCTGCACTCCCTCCGGCTCTGGGCGCTCCGATCCCCGGCCCTCTGCACTCCCTCCGGCTCTCTGCGCCGGATCCCCGGCCCTCTGCACTCCCTTCCCGCTCTCTGCGCCGGATCCCCGGCCCTCTGCACTCCCTTCCCGCTCTCTGCGCCGGATCCCCGGCCCTCTGCACTCCCTTCCCGCTCTCTGCGCCGGATCCCCGGCCCTCTGCACTCCCTCCGGCTCTCGGCGCTCCGATCCCCGGCCCTCTGCACTCCCTCCGGCTCTCTGCGCCGGATCCCCGGCCCTCTGCGCCGGATCCCCGGCCCTCTGCGCCGGCCCCTCGGCCTTCTGCACTCCCTCCAGCTCTGGGCGCTCCGATCCCCGGCCCTCTGCACTCCCTCCGGCTCTGGGCGCTCCGATCCCCGGCCCTCTGCACTCCCTCCGGCTCTCTGCGCCGGATCCCCGGCCCTCTGCACTCCCTCCCCGCTCTGGGCGCTCCGATCCCCGGCCCTCTGCACTCCCTCCGGCTCTGGGCGCTCCGATCCCCGGCCCTCTGCACTCCCTCCGGCTCTCTGCGCCGGATCCCCGGCCCTCTGCACTCCCTCCGGCTCTCGGCGCCGGATCCCCGGCCCTCCGCACCCAACTCTTAAGCCCTTCGTACCACGGCCCAGTTCTCCCTCGCCCGCCCTTGGCGCCTCGACCCTTTGCAGCACCTTCAACCTCGACCCGACTCCACCCTCGTCCAGCCCCTCCGAATTCCGGCCCTGGGCTCGTGCCCGGCCACACCAGCGATCTTGTGCTGGCTTTGGCACCAGTGGTGACCCTGCGCCCGACACCTCTGTGCGTCCCGGCCCTGGGCCTGGCTTCGCGTCTGGTTTGGCCTCTCCGGTTCTCACAGTGGGTTCAGTTCTAAAAGCCGACCCCACCCCACCCGTGCACAGCCTGCCTGGGGCGTAGGTCCTTGGCAGCCTCAGTCCTTGGGCCAAGGCCAGGTACCCAAAGGGAAGGGGTGGGGCGCGGAGCCAGGAGGGACAGATGCGCTGTCCCCTCTTGTGGCTAAGGCGGGTCAGGGCTGTGCGGCCTGAGAGGTGGTTGGGCCAGGCAGGACTAGGAGCAGGATTGGGCTTACACTACACATGAGCTTCGCGGGATCAGGCAGCTACCCCATTTTTAAGTGGTATACTCAGCTGCGGTCCTGGACTCGTCAGCCTAGCCAAACGCGTGAACGTAGGTAGGTGCCCTTTAAGTTGAGGGCAGCAGCCTAGGCTGTGGAACTCTGGGAGAGGATGGTGACTCCCTGGCGCTTCTCTGTCAGGGTCTGCTTGTGGCACCTAAGGGGTTTTGAGCTTAGAAAGGAACTCAGCTTTTTAAGACCCTCTGGATGCCCTGGAAATTCCAGACTCTGTTGGCTTCTTTTTGGCACTTTGCCCAAACTTGTCTCAGTCTACGGGGACATTGGTGAGGGGGCCCCTGAGAACTTGTGTCAGCAAAGGGCAAGTTGGAGTGACCTGGCTGCAAGTGGACCACCGGAGAGAGTCTCCCAAGAGGGGCTGCTAGGCTGCCTCCTCCTGCACCTCCGGATCGGGCTCCGGGCTGGGGCTCTCTTGGTGAAATTCTTTCCCCTCCTTCTACTCTACCCTCTCACCTACCTGGCTCCCAGCATCTCCAGCCTCTGGCTCCAGCTGCTTCTGAAAGCCACTGAGACCTCAGGCTCAACGTACATCAAACTGGGCCAGTGGGCCAGCACCCGGAGAGATCTCTTCTCAGAGGCTTTCTGTGCCCAGTTCTCCAAGCTGCATGTCCGGGTGACCCCACACCCTTGGACTCACACTGAGCATGTCCTGCAGCAGGCCTTTGGAGAAGACTGGGGGAAGGTACTCTGCTTTGAGGAGCAGGAACCTGTGGGTTCAGGCTGTGTGGCCCAAGTGTACAAAGCACGTGCCAATCCTGTCTTCCTGAAGAATGACAGCATCCAGAGACTTGCCAAGGCCTCCGGGCAGCAGCCTTGCTCAGAAGCTGGGACAGCTGGGAGGCTGAGAGAGCTCTCTGGACACCTAGAGAAGGGGTGGAGCTCTCAAGGAAGTCTTGCTGACCAGTCATTTCTAGAAAGACTGCTTTTCCCTAGAGCTGGCTTGATTGGATCAGACGCAGTCATGTCTCAGGCTTTGGCACCTGCGGACCTGCCGGAACCACATCACCTCATCCCTGTGGCAGTGAAAGTAAGTGCTCTGTTGTCTTCAGCAGGCCCTTCCCATCTCTAATGTCTCACTGATCCCACAGAGCTATCCTAGATCAGGAACCCCTCCTTTGCAAGTCACCCCACATTGCCTCCCATTGACTTTTATTAACTTGGCCATTATCTGAGTGCATATGATGTGCCAGCTGTTTTATTTCTTGGTGGTGCGAATAGTCTCTAAAGGAAAGTTGAGAGGGTTTGGCGTTTGCTGCCTCTGCGGGTGGAGGAACCACTGTCCAGCTGACCTACCCCTCTGGGGTCAGGATAGATTTGAGACAGACTAGGTTAGACGAGATGTGGCGAGCCCAAGGTGGCAGTGTTCATTTTTACACAAGTTTTTTTCTTCTCGCTTAATTTTCTGTCACCCTCACTGGACTCCATCACTTCTTGTCTCCACACTTTTTCATCCCCACTCAGCACAGCCCAGGGGATCTGGCAGACACAAGTGGCAGGTACCCCAGATGTTCTCTTTTACCTCCTGGGGAAAAACCCTCCTACATTTTCACCAAGCACCCCATGATGACTTTTATGCACTCTCTGGGAGCCACTCATGTAATCTTAATATATTTGGGAAGAAAAGGCCCATCTATTCTTCCCAGGAAAGCTAAGAGCTGTGCAGAGGAGCTGCCTTCAGCATCCTGGGTGTTGGGACCCCTTCCCCTTTACTCTGATGAGAAACCAGTTGGCTCCTTTGGTGGCAGGATCCAGCCCTGGCTGAGTGAGTGTGCCTTCCTGGTCCCTCTGGCTCACTGTTTCTCTTTCTGGCAGGTGCTGCACCCTGGCCTGCTCTCTCAGGTGCAAATGGACCTGCTGCTGATGAAGATGGGCAGCCGAGTCCTTGCACTTTTGCCAGGAATCAAGTGGCTTAGCTTGCCTGAGATAGTGGAGGAATTTGAGAAGCTCATGGTCCAACAGGTGAATTTTCCTTCCCTCAGTTATAAATAGCATCTAAGAGAGTTCTTGCCATTAGCAGCTGTTTAGAAAATGCTAAATGAATGAGTAATTTCCCAGTAGGAAATGGCTAGTATGGTATATGACTCAGGGTAGGTACTTTAGTCGCTATAATAAAGAACATCCAAATCTCAGTAGCTTAATGGAACAAGATTATTGCTTATATCAAAGTTCTGTGCAGGTGAACTAAAGGAGAGAGAGAAAGCACTATTTCACAGGTATTCAGGGACCCAGTTTCCTCCCAAGTTTGGCACTGTCATCTTCAACATGTGCCATGTAGGGTCAGTATGGAATTGAGAGAAAAGCCATGAAGGACCATGTGAGAGATTTTGTGGCCAGGCCTGGAAGTGATGAACATCATTTCTTCCTAGTCTTCAGGTCATCTTTAATCACATGGGCTCTGCAAGGGTGCTTAGGAAATACAGACGTCTTTAGTGCCTGGAGGAAAGTGAAGTCATTCTGGTGGAATATAGAATGTTATCCCTTAAGTGTCACCATCAATGGCTGAACTCCAGGGTGATGAGAGTAATTAGAGAAGTCACACATGGTGACTTTGTTTTGCTTTGTTTCCAGGGCTTTTGAGTAGACAAGGACTTCCTCCCTGTCCAGGACCTTGGGACACCCGTTTAAGTAGCCAGACTTGGTAAATACACTTTGGGGGCCACAGGGCTCCAAGTAGGCATCTGCCCTGGCTCTCTGTTGGTAGTGCAGAAATGGGCAGACTTTCAGAAGCAGTGTGCCAAGTTTTCATTTAGGTCCTTGGATATAACAAGAAGCTGATGAACTAAGAAACCAAGTGAGCTTCTCCTGTCCATAGGAATATATTGTAGGCAGAGGGGGCTGACCTAGAAATAGTTGCAAACATTGTTTGATCAAAGTTACAGTAGGAGTCTCTATAGGTTCAGTTGGGTTCAGCTGGGGCTCAAGAGAGGAAGTGGTAATTCCATCCTGAGGGTCAAGGCTCCATTGGCTCAAGTTGGGTCTTGAAAGGTGAGTGGTATTTACAGTTGGACCAAATGGGGGAAAAACATTCCAATCAGAGGGAATAAGGAAGGCAAAAGGGGTGAGTAGATCAGGCAGTTTGGGGTGTTCAGCACCATACAGATTGAGTGAAGCTAGAGTTTTGGGTGGTAGAGGAAGGGGGAGGCACAAGAGATGGACCTGAAGAGAGAGGTGGGGGCCTAACCATGACCCCTCTTGGATGTCATCCTAAAGAATGTAGACTTCATTCTGCAGGTAGTAGAGGACACCGGCTGAGAGACAGGGTCATCTTCCAGAGAGGGAAGGTGGGGGTCAGGAAGCCCAACTCAGATGCCTCTGTCAGGGTTCAGGTGACTTGCTGTGAGTCACCGTGGGAGTGGCAGTGGGGTGGAGAGGGAGAATTGGTCCGAGTGGCCAGGGCTGCAGAGCTGATGGCACTCAGCACTGGCGCGTGTGGAGGGTAAGAGAAAGAGCGACTCTTGGGTGACTAGTACATGTGGGGTGTGTGAAAGTAAATTTGTTTACACAGTGAGTTCAAGGGTCTCCGTGGACTTCCACTGGCACTATCCAAAGAATGGTAGAGGGGGACCAGACTGGAGATCAAGGTTCTGTCGTCAGGAGGTGCTACCTGAGGATGTGAGGGGATGGAAAGGGAGAGCAAAAGCTGGTGAAGGTCAGGAGCTGAGAGACATCAGCATCTGTGAGCACCTAAGGAGGAATGGCCAGGAGACCAGACCCAGGCCGGGCAGCTGAGAAGCAGGGGTACAAGCAGGGAGGGTAAAGAGAAGAGCCGTTCAGGAAGAATGACGTTGTGGAGTTAATTAGGGTAAAAATGGGACTGGGCCTTGGAGTTTGGCAAGTGAAAGGCTCTGTGAGCTTGAGGAGAGCAGTGCCGTGCAGAGGCGGAGGGCAGAGGGGGCAGTGGGCCTTGATCAAGGGAAAGGGCTGGGGTGCTAATGAGGGCAGTGGTGTGGAGAGGCCAAGTGGAACCCCTGGAAGATGGGGAAGGGGTCCATGGGCTGGTGTGAAGGGGATGGGCAGGGAAGGGAGAGTGGAGCAGCAGTGAGCCCAGGCACCGCAAGGGTGTCTGCTGTCCATAGATTAGAGGCGTTTGCTTGGGGGTTCAGGACTTTGGGGGAGGCCTTTCATTACAGATGGTAAAGATGGTACTGTGAGATCCAGGGGAGTGATTCCACCTACCCAAGCTACTAGCTGTGTGTCTCCTGAGGAGCTGTTCCGGAGCAGGAGAAGGAACAGGAGCAGGAGGGGAAGTAGGAGGAAGAGAAGGAGCAGGAGGGGGGAAGGAGCAGGAAGAGGGCAAGCAGGAGGAGGAGCAGGTGCTCAGATGCTGCTATCCCTGTGCCCTGACTGCCCCTCATCTTTTCTCTCCATTTCCCTGTAGATCGACCTGCGCTACGAAGCTCGGAATCTAGAGCACTTCCAGTGCAACTTCTTGAACGTGAAGTCTGTCAGATTCCCCACCCCTCTGCACCCCTTTGTCACCAGGGATGTTTTGGTGGAAACATATGAAGTAAGAACCACAGCTTACCTGGCTGCGCCTTTCACTCATAGCTGGGCTGTCTCTGCTTTACCTGCGGGCTTCATTCTGCAAAGACAAAAGCCAAGAGAGCACGTGATTACATGTGAGAGGAGTTCAGACATGATGCCATTGTGGGCAGTGGCATAGTGAGGTGGCTGGACGTGGCCTCAGACTTCCTTTTTTTAAAATGTCATTTAATTAATTAATTAATTAATTAATTATTTTTATCCTCACCTGAGGACATTTTTCCATTTTTTGTTCACATAGGGTGGGAGAGAGAGAGAAAAACATGATGTGAAAGAGACATATCGAGTGGTTGCCATCCGCACGACCCAACCAGGGCCGGGGGCAAACTGCAACCAAGGTATGTGCCCTTAGTGGGAACCGAACCAGGGTCTCTCTGGACCGCAGGCTGACGCTCTAACTGCTGAGCCAAACCGGCCAGGGCAGCCTCAGACTTTCTGGATTTGAGAATCTGCTCTGCCACTTGATTTGCTGGGTGGCTTCAGTTTCCTCCTGTATGCCAGCAGCTGCTGTTCCTGCTCGTGGGTTCTCCCAGGAGTCAGTGACACACTGAATGAAAACGCCCTCAGCTAGAGTTTGCGCAGAGAGAGTGCTCAACAAGTGTCTGTGTCGTGTCATTGGCCCTAGCTGTCCCCTGGTCCAGCCTCTGTGGTAAAGATGGTAGCATGAGATCCAGGGGAGTGATGCCACCTCCCCAGTTACTAGCTGTGTGGCCTTGAGCAAGTTATTTAAACTCTCTGGGCTTTAGTTCTTTTATTTGTTAATTAGGGATAACAAGACCTATCTCAGTGGGCTGCTGTGACAACTGAATAACTAACCTATATGAAATGCTTATTTGCTAGCTCCCCTTTCTTCTCTTTTCCCCTTTCCTCCCATTTTCTTTATTGATTTTAGAGGGAGAGGAAGGGAGAGGGAGAGAGATAGAAACACGGTCAAGAACTCACTCCTCTCTCTATCTGCTGGTTCTTGACCAGAAACTAGCTCTCCAGGGCCTGTTTCTGTCTCTTCCCACCACACTGCGACGTCATTACCTGTTGTGGCAGAGTCCGTGGGTTTCCTCTCTAATACACCTATGGGACTCGTTTCCCTTTGAGAAGTGTTATGGATGAGAAATGTAAATAGGTTCAAGTCAACTTGTGGGTGACCGACTCATAGGGGTTGTAAGAAAGGAAAAACTGTTTGGGTCACTTCCTAATGGACAGGAAGGCAACACCATGTGTCCTGTGGGGATGAGAAGCAGGGCTGTCCAGAGTAAAGCTGTTCCCTCCCTGATCTTCCTAAAGGAGAGCGTGCCCGTGTCCAGTTACCAGCAGGCAGGGATTCCCACTGACTTGAAGAGGAAGATTGCTCGGCTGGGGATCAACATGATCCTGAAGATGGTGAGCTCATGTCTGGGAGGAGGTGCTCAGGCCCAGCACGTGGCTGCATTGCGTGTGGGGAAATGGGGACACTGCCTGGCTACCCTGGGTGGAGGGCAAACCCAGTGGAGTCTGCCAGGAGCAGTCCCCTGAGTGCCTCCCCAGGAGCAGCTGCTCTGCCCCTGCCCCGGTCTCTCCTTTTTCAAACCCTGTAGAAGGACTGCTAGTGGTTTCTCTGACCATCAGTGTGACCTTTCATGGGAGGCCGATTTCTGTCTCACAAAGCCACACCTGACTACCTGTCTATCACAGTCCCTGGGCTTTCTTTCCTGCTTAGCAGGTTCAAAGCCATTTCTCCCTGCCTACCTGATTCTGTGTGCCAGTCGGCTCTTGTCAGTATCGCTGTTAGACGTCTCTGTGTGGACAGGTGGAGGTAATGGGAAGGAAGTCTGATTTATGAGATATTTGAAAGAAAGGAAGTTCCATGAATTTTCAGAGCAGAGAGGTTTGCCCTGGTCAGTGTGCTCCATGGTTTAGAGCCTTTGCCTGTGCACCAAAGGGTCGTGGGTTTGATTCCTGGTCAAGGGCAGTGGTGAGCAGGAGGCAACTAATCAACGTGTCTTTCTCACATCTATGTTTCTCTTTCTCTCTCCCCTTACCTCCTTCCCTTCCACTGTCTCTAAAAATAAAAAATTCAATGGAAAAAATATCCTCGAGTGAGGAGGAACAACAACAACAACAAAAGAAGAAGCAGGAGGTTTGGGGAAAATTTTTAAACAATGATAATTATTTTTTATTTTTATAAATCCTCACCTGAGGGTTTATATATATGTATGTGTAATTATTTTTTTTAACTGATTTTAGAGAGAAGGGAAGGGAGAGAGAGAGAGAAAGAAGGAAACTACCATGTATGAGAGAAACATTGACTGGCTGCCTCCCGTATGCACCCCCACCAGGGATCAAACCCACAATCTAGGTATGTGCCCTGACTGGGAATTGAACTGGCAACCTATTGGTGCACAGGACTATGCTCCAACCAACTGAGCCACACCAGCTAGGGCAGGTAGATAATTATTTTAATTTGACTATTAATTGCTCGAACTATAGAGTAAAAATAAGTATTTTGAAATGCAGTATGGTCTTTGATCTTTCATGTTTCCTATAATCTTTTTTCATGCTTTTGACTTTGAAAATAATTTTTCTCTTGGAAATATCAACCTGTCCCGTCCCTATACAAATTTGGAACTGATGACATCAACAGTGAGGCTTTATCAGAGGAGATCCGGCGCATTCAGCGTAGACGTGAGGCTTTATTAGATGTGCACTTCCCTGCCACTGGTCACTGGGAATATACTGTCACCCTGGAAGCTTTTTATGGGTGTGGTGGCCTGGTGGTGATGGGGTGGTGAGGGCTGACTTAACCTTGAACAACACTGATCTCTTTTCCAGATATTTGTGGACAACTTTGTCCATGCAGACCTTCATCCTGGGAACATCCTGGTCCAGGGTGCTGATGGTCTTTCCAAGAGCCAAGAGGCACGGCTGCAGCAGGTGGATGTCTGTGACACGCTGGTGGTGTCTGCAACGCCTGCCCGGTGCCCGCTGCGCCTGGTGCTCCTGGATGCTGGCATCGTGGCTGAGCTGCAGGCCGCTGATCTGAGGAACTTCCGGGCAGTTTTCATGGCTGTGGCAATGGGGCAGGTGAGACCCACTGGGCCCTTGGGAGCTGGGCCCAAATCTTTTAGGCTCTTGAGAACTTTAGGGCTCCTCAGCCCTCGTCATTCTCGTAAATGCCCATGTTTGCCACGGGTGCTCCTGACAGAAATGTCAAGGGTCTTTGGTCAGAAGGTGGTGCCTGTGACTGAGGCCAGTTCCAGGCAGCTCACGGTCTGGGATGGGAGGAAATGCCTCTTTCCCAAATGCCGCTGTGTAGTCGTGGTAGTTTGTACGGTAGTTTCTCTTCCTTCAGCAAGCGTATGGGTGGGCACTAGGAAGGCTAGCTCCTGCTTAGGAGGCTTCCAAGGGCTCAAACACAGGCTTGATCCTGGGCCGCTGTGGCAGGTAGGGTGGGGCATGTTCTCCTGCACAGGTTTGGGAAGAGGAAGAAGGTCACACACAGCCCGAGGAGGGAGAGCTTGGCTCCTGGGGCGGTGCTGTGGGAGGCGAAAGGCATTATCAGTGACTAGAAGGGCAGGTGGGTGTTCGAGGAGACTCTGGAGGCTTTGGCCAGAGGGTGTCCTGAGTGGAGGAGGCTGCAGCACAGAGGCTGGGCCAGCTGTGAACAGGAAATTCTGCTAGGGCAGTAAGGGAGCCCACGAGGACAGTGTGGCTGGTCCAGCCTGGTGGCAGGTCCTTTTGGCTCTGAGGCTAGGCTGGTTGGTCAGCAGTGGCCAAAGGCAGGATAGTAGAATTAGGTGGAAACAACTAGGATATGAAGAAGTTTGGGGAGAGCCCTCCCAACTCTACCAAGTTTCTCTCCTTTTGCATCTTTCAGGGCCAAAGAGTGGCTGAGCTCATCCTGCATCATGCTCGGGCCAGTGAGTGCAAGGACGTGGAGCGGTTCAAGGCTGAGATGGCCACATTGGTGACACAGGCCAGGAAGAACACTATCACCCTGGAAAAGGTGAGCAGGCCACTCGCCCTTGCCCTTGAACAGAACAAACCTCAAGTTGAAGACCTTTTAATGGGGAGAAGTCTCAAGGGGGTTCAAGTTTTAAGGCAGATAAAGAACAAACCTTTCCTATGCCCACAACTCCCAGGTGTAAGGAGGCCCACTGAAATCTCTGGCTGTCAAGGGTGGCTGCTGGGGCATGACCTTTATAGTGTTGAACCCCTCCCTGTCTACGTTGTAGCTGTTCTGCTACTTCTTTTGTGTCTCGAGCTCAGTCCAGCTTGGGGAGGGATGACTAAGGTCTCTGAGCAGTCAAAGGACAGAACTAAAGTTTGCATCCTTTATTTAGACTTGAGCCAGAGCCCTGTTTGTATTTTGCACTCAGTTCTAGCAAACCAGACTGTTCTCTCCCCAAGTTCATGGTCTACACTAGCAGATCGAGTCAGAGCGAGCAGCAGCTGGCACCCAGGCACGGCTATCTTCCCTGTTCAGATGTGGTTTTTGTGTGTGCTGTGGGGAGACACACACAGGGGTGGCTGGACCTCCAGGCCTCTTCCTGGAGTCTTTGAACTCATGCTCCTCATATGCGAGATGAGAGTTGGGCTTGTGCACGTGCAGTCCTTCTGGAGTTTGTCAGTCCTTTCCACTCACTGGTGTGGGGGTGGGGAGTGTGTGGTATGTGTGTGTGTGTGCGCGTGTGTGTTTTGGGATGGGTGGGATAGGGGCCTGGTGTGTGCGTGTGTGTGTGTGTGTGTTTTGGGACGGGGTGGGATAGGGGCCTGGTGTGTGTGCGCGTGTGTGTTGGGATAGGGGCCTGGTGTGTGTGTGTGTGTGTGTGTGTTGGGACAGGGGGTGGGATAGGGGCCTGGTGCGTGCGTGTGTGTGTGTGTGTGTGTGTGTGTTGGGACAGGGGGTGGGATGGGGGCCTGGTGTGTGCGTGTGTGTGTTGGGACAGGGGGTGGGATGGGGGCCTGGTATGTGTGTGTGTGTGTGTGTGTGTGTGGACAGGGGGTGGGATAGGGGCCTGGTGTGTGTGTGTATGTGTGTGTGTGTGTGTGGACAGGGGGTGGGATAGGGGCCTGGTGTGTGTGTGTGTGTGTGTGTGTGTGGACAGGGGGTGGGATAGGGGCCTGGTGTGTGTGTGTGTGTGTGTGTGTGTGTGTTGGGACAGGGGGTGGGATAGGGGCCTGGTGTGTGCGTGTGTGTGTTGGGACGGGGTGGGATAGGGGCCTGGTGTGTGTGTGTGTTGGGACAGGGGGTGGGATAGGGGCCTGGTGTGTGTGTGTGTGTGTGTGTGTGTGTGTGTGTGCGTTGGGACGGGGTGGGATAGGGGCCTGGTGTGTGTGTGTGTGTGTGGACAGGGGGTGGGATAGGGGCCTGGTATGTGTGTGTGTGTGTGTGTGTGTGTGTGTGGACGGGGTGGGATAGGGGCCTGGTATGTGTGTGTGTGTGTGGACAGGGGGTGGGATAGGGGCCTGGTGTGTGTGTGTGTGTGTGTGTGTGGACAGGGGGTGGGATAGGGGCCTAGTGTGTGTGTGTGTGTGTGTGTGGACAGGGGGTGGGATAGGGGCCTAGTGTGTGTGTGTGTGTGTGTGTGTGTGTGTGTGTTGGGACAGGGGGTGGGAGAGGGGCCTGGTGTGTGCATGTGTGTTGGGACAGGGGGTGGGATAGGGGCCTGGTGTGTGCGTGTGTGTGTTGGGACAGGGTGGGATAGGGGCCTGGTGTGTGTGTGTGTTGGGACGGGGGTGGGATAGGGGCCTGGTGTGTGCGTGTGTGTGTATGTGTGTGTGTTGGGACAGGGGGTGGGATAGGGGCCTGGTGTGTGTGTGTGTGTGTGTGTGTGTGTGTGTGTGTTGGGACAGGGTGGGATAGGGGCCTGGTGTGTGTGTGTGTTGGGACGGGGGTGGGATAGGGGCCTGGTGTGTGCGTGTGTGTGTATGTGTGTGTGTTGGGACAGGGGGTGGGATAGGGGCCTGGTGTGTGTGTGTGTGTGTGTGTGTGTGTGTTGGGACGGGGTGGGATAGGGGCCTGGTGTGTGTGTGTGTGTGTGTGTGTGGACAGGGGGTGGGATAGGGGCCTGGTGTGTGTGTGTGTGTGTGTGTGTGTGGACAGGGGGTGGGATAGGGGCCTGGTGTGTGTGTGTGTGTGTGTGTGTGTGTGGACGGGGTGGGATAGGGGCCTGGTATGTGTGTGTGTGTGTGTGTGTGTGTGTGTGGACAGGGGGTGGGATAGGGGCCTGGTGTGTGTGTGTATGTGTGTGTGTGTGTGTGTGTGTGTGTGGACAGGGGGTGGGATAGGGGCCTGGTGTGTGTGTGTGTGTGTGTGTGTGTGTGTGTGGACAGGGGGTGGGATAGGGGCCTGGAAGGGAGAGAAGCGGTTCCAGGGGGCTCGGCACTCTCTGCAGTCAGCTTTTTCCTCTTTTCCAGCTTCAAGTTTCCAGCCTTCTCTCGAATGTGTTTAAGTTGCTGATGACTCACAAGGTGAGGCCCCCCAGCCAGGCTGAGCCCTAGGCCCTGGTCAGGCTGGAGGGGTGGTCTCTGGGGAAGTGGTGGGTGGCCACAAGGTGGTGAGAAGTACTTCTCTTATATGAGGTCTCATTGTGAAACATTTTTCATGCTGATTCGTTAGCACGAAGAGTTCTGTTTCTGAGTATTAACTAGGTATAGCAAGCTCTTCCTTTGTCACACTGTGGGTCTGTGTCTGTCCGCCTGTGCAGTCTAAGTGTGATGCTGAGCTGCACTTACAGGTGGACTTACAGATGTAAAACCCATCTAACCAAAGCTCTCAGGACTTTTCTCTCAGTTCCCGTCAGTGATGCTTGGTACTCACCTAAGTCATACTTAGATAGCTCTTTCCTGCGTGGTGCAGTCCTGGCGCTGGGGGCAGCCCAAGAGGAGGTGCCTCTTGTCCTGGTGTGTCCTTGCCCAGCATAGCCCTTGCCTCCTGTCCCCATCCCTTGGAGGGAGATGGCCTCACAGCTTCCACCTTGCCCTTTGTCTCCTTGTGATGGAGTGTGGTTTCGACTATTCTTCAAAGTAAAGCTGCCAGCCAAGGGCATAAAGAATTGAGGGCAGGGAAGGGAAGATTCTTCTCTGGAGATGGTCTTTCCCATTGTTTCTCTTGAGGTTTTGCAGTCCAATCATGAAATACCACATGGAAAAGGCAGCCATCTGGCAAGGATCATAACACAGAATTGAGTCAGAAAGTTGGCTGGTCAGAAGAATGACCCTCGAGAACTCTATCCCCCCCAGACTTTCCTTAGTAATACTAGTAGACGGAGGGTTGGGTGAGTAGGTGAGGTGGTAGGGAAAAGGATGTTAGATGGACAGTGAAAATCACATGGGCAGGTACAAGAGGCCGAGAGCAGACAGCACCATGGTTATCCAGAACTCTGTGTCAATGGGCTTTGGAAAGAACCACTTATTTTCTGTTTCAGGTAAAACTTGAGAGCAACTTTGCCTCCATCGTGTTTGCCATCATGGTGCTGGAGGGGCTTGGCCGCTCGCTGGACCCCAAGCTGGACATCCTGGAGGCAGCAAAGCCCTTCCTGCTGAAAGGACTAGTGCCTTCCCCCTGACTGGCAGTGGGCGTGCAGCAGCCTCCCTCGCAGAGCTGGGGGCTTCCCAGCAGCCCTCTGGGGCCGCTTGGACATGTACGAATTGGGATGTGTGGAGGGCACACCATGGCTTTTCTCTCTGATTTGGCTGCAGGCATCTGTTTAAATAGCTTTGGGTTATTTGGGGAAGTAAATGGAGGGAAGGGTCCTATCCATTCCGCTGTAGGAGCTGGGCCTGGTGGGAGACTCTGTTTCAGGGAAAAGGTTCTGTGAAGAAGGACAAATAAACTTATTTTTTCTTTTTTCTCTCTCTTCTCTTCTTAACCCTCTTTCCTCCGCAATCAGGCGGGTCCTCCTGGAGTCTGATAATTAGGTTAGAAAATGTCATACAGTCCTATAGACCCATGGCTTCTGATGTTTTTATGTACCCTTACTCGTAAGAGGTAGAATATCTTTATGTACACATACACATATAATTTATTCATAAATTTTATGCAGGTGATAACACCACTAGCAAATGTGTGGCGGCACAATATACACTTAGGGCAAATTTCACTGTACTTCAGATTAACTTCTTTATACTTTGAAATACTGTTTGCTGACTTCTTACTAAATTTTATTACAAGGTGAGAAAAATCCGCAAAGATTAATATGACTTATATATTAGGGACAGCTCTGCTTTCTTCTTAAAGTTCTCCTGGGCTCGCATATTAGTGTTCAGACTGTGGTTTCTGTGAGCAATGTTTGGTCCCTTGTCCATTTGTCCAGGGCTAATTTTGGTTGATATTAATATATAGATAATATAATCAGTGCAGCTTCTTAACCAGGGCTTGAAATCTGCAGTGGCACCCAGTGACTTAAGGGGTGGTGGCCACTGCCTGCCCCTCGGTGGGGGGCCCACCCACAGACTATCCTCTCAAAGCTGACCAACATGGACGAAGAGGATTCCAGGGTCAGCTTGGACAGTAGATATTGGTGAAACTTAATTTCTTATTTTTCTAAATAAAATAGTACTTTCTCCCTCATCCCACTGGGTTCTCTTGCTTGTTTGGGAGACCACTGCGTTAGACAGTGAGTGGAAAGTCAAGCAGCCCTGGTGTCAGAAAGTTCCACATGGCTAGATTCTTCCAGTCTTTCCTTCTCAAGGATCAAGTTCCTCATTTCTGTCTTTCAGGGAGCAAGGACCGTTTAGCTGGGCAGAGACTCCTTCGGTGAAGGTTTTCCCAGAGGGGTGGAGATGTTATTGTTATTTCCCACGTCTTGAAGGGAGGGCGTTCTAATCAGGCAGGAGGTGCTGTGGAGGCTCAGGGCAGCGGGTGGAGGGGAGTGGCGCTGTTCAGCTCTCCCTCATGTACACACAGCCCCTGTGCCAAGTACACGTAGACTTATACTATGGGGCAAGAGAGGGGGCACGCACACAGACCAGGGGCCTGCCTGAGCCAAACCAGCACCACCAAGCCTCTCCTTACAGCCAAATGATTTATCAAGCTGTCTGTGTTATGTATTTATTATCTATCCCTCCATACAAACTACCCCAGAACTTAATGGCTTAGAACAACAATACTTTCTACCTCACAGTATCTACAGGTCAGAAATCTGGGTGCAGCTTAGCTGGGTCCTCGACTCAGGGTCCTGCACAGACATTTTGAGGCTCCACTAAGGTGGGTCTGACGCCAATCTCACTGGTGGGATTGTTGGCATGATTCACTTACTCGTGGGCTGTTGGAACGATGGTCTCAGTTTCTCAGGAGCCATTACAGCAGCGACAGAAAATGAACACAGGCTGTACTGAAGAGGAGAAAATGGTTAGTGGATGTGCTTTTAATATACACAATTTGAGCCCTGGCCAGTTTGCTCAGTGGTTAGAATGTTGGCCCGCGGACCAGAGAGGCCCAGGTTCGGTTCCCACTGAGGGCATGTACCTCAGCTGCAGTTTGTCCCCGGCCCCAGGTGGGGTTATGTGGGTGGCAACCACATGATGTGTCTCTCTCACATTGATGTTTCTCTCACTCCCACTCTATCTGAAGATAATTGCAAAAATGTCCTCTGGTGAGGACTGAAAAAAAAATCTATACATCTATATCTATATATGCAATTTGCTGATTTTTTTTTTTTTTTATCCTCACCCGAGGATATTTTTCCATTTTTTGTACAGATAGAGTGGGAGGGAGAGAGAGGAAGGGAGAGAAAGAGAGAAACATCGACGTGAAGGGACACATCGAGTGGCTGCCACCCGCACAACCAACCAGGGCTGGGGACAAACTGCAACCGAAGTACGTGCCCTTAGCGGGAACCGAACCCGGGTCTCTCCGGACCGCAGGCCGACGCTCTAACCGCTGAGCCAAACTGGCCAGGGCGCAATTTGCTGATTTTTAAAAGAATCTTAAAAATGGGAAACTTGATTTATAAAGTCATCTTCTGAAGGAGAAAAATCTACTTTCCTGGGTATAAGTGGATAAAGTGACAGCATGCTGTTTCCCCTGAAGAGAGATCATAGCTCAGTCTCCTCTAAAGTAGAAAGTAGGGCTTGTTTCAGTGTTACTAAAGCCACTGGAAAGACGAGCTTCTTTCTTTCCAAGACTCACAAGGAAAGTGAGATCAAGCAAGTAGGAAATTAGCCCTGGCCGGTTTGCTCAGTGGTTAGAGCATTGGCCCTGGGAAGATTCTGCTCAAGGGCACGTACCTCGGTTGTGGTTTGTCCCTGGCCCTGGCTGGGGTCCTGCAGGAGGCAATCAGTGGATGTCTCGCTCACATTAATGTTTCTTCCTCTCTCTCTCCCTTCCTCCCACTCTACCTGGTGATAAATGAAAAAATATCCATGGATGAGGATAAAAAAGTAGAAAATTAAACATGAAGTTTTGTGAACAAATATTTTTTTTTCATCCCCTTGCTTTGTTTTCTATTTCCAGGTATAGAATAGGTTCTTGATTTGGGGTGAGATGCTCAATGCTAGGTCATTTAGAGTCTGTCCTCACAGTGTGTTAAAATTTGACTGGGAATTTGATTTGTGTTTAGAAGCTGAGAGCTCAGGGCCAGGGCTTGGCATCCCTTCCCTCACCTTCTAAAATGTACCCATTCACATGGGGTGCTTATCTTAGAACCCAAAAGAGGGCCACTGCACAACCTGCAAAAGGCAGTGAGGGATGTTTGCCCTTGGACCTTTTAGAGCAAATGTGTCACTGCTACACAGTCAGTATACCTTATTGATTGGAACCACAAAATTTTTGTAGTAAAATCAGAATTTGTGGTGTAAAACATTAAAGCTAAAGACCCCCCTCACCCCCCAAAGAGTCTGAAGATCAATATTGCTTTAAATACAACGAAGTACTGACATGGAAACATTTTGTTTTGTAATTCAGGCAAGAAAGATGGGGAGGGTGAATGAATTTTCGTTCACCTGAATAGCTTTTGCTACCAAGAAACGAAGGTACAATAAAGGAATAAAAATTTCCTGAGTATATGCTGTGGGCCAGTTACTCTCTCAAATGACTCAAATTAAGATGAGGGGCACTGGTGTTCGGAGAAATAGTGACTTGTCCAAATTCCTAGAGCTAATAATTGGCAGAGCTGAGGTATGAGCTCCAGATCTTCACTCCAAGTTCTATGCTTTCTTTTGTTTAAGCTGCGCTTTGTTTTTGTGGCCTTGGAATCACAGTGTTGTTCTCTGCTGGGAGCAAGGCAGCTGTATGGCTTGGGCGGCCAGTTCTCTAGGAAGATGGCAAGCTTTGTCCTCTCATTTCATAAACTTTCCATCTTGGTGGTTTGTAGCCATCACCAGAAAGGGTAAGTGCCAAATGGTGGCCCAAAGGCACACTGTTGCATATCAGCTAGAAAGTCAACATCCAGAAAATAGTGGATTCTTTCCTCTAATTTACATACTAAGTTAGGAGGGCAGGAGAACAGGGCCAGCAGTAAATCAATAGGCTGTTTTGAAGGGGGTGGGGATGGGGCAGCTCTGCAATCATAAGCTTTATGTGGGCCTAACTCCGGGGACAGTTTCCTGTTAGAGGGCTCATGGAAACCCCTATCTTGGCACAGGAGAGGCATCAGTTATATTCAAATGCACTCAAATTCCTAAATGCAGCTCCACACATCTCTCAAGTATCCTCTTATCCTATTTTTCCCACTTGTGACTCTGAACGTGAGGTCCTTGGTGCTTAGCAAGGGTCCCATTTCAAATCGAAATTGCCAAAGTTAGGCTGGCAGGCTAAGTTTATAATTTAATTAAACCCAGAGGTGCTTAGGAAAACTACAGTCCATGAGTGGAGTGTCTAAGAATTTGGGGAGGGGCATTCAGAGACGCTTGGAGTCCACCCAGGATTTTATAAAAGGCAGTATCAGGAGACAAAAGCAAGAATCAGGCTCAAGAACTAGGAGCGCTGCTACAATGCGCACTCCTTGGCCCTCCTCCAGACTTCATCAGAGCACGTGGGGTCAGGCTCCTCAGGTGACCCATACCACCAAATACCACGTCCTGATACGGGCAACCACCGTCGGCCAGTTGGTAAAGTTCAAGTTTGCAGAACAACAATAAAACAAGGACGACTTAACGATGTCGCTGTGAGCCTCTTGCAGGAGAGGAGAGTTTTTAAAAACCAGCTTCGGGCCGGCTGGTGTGGCAGTGGACTGAGCGCCTTCCCAAGGACTCGGCGCCCCGGTTTGATTCCGTCAGGGCACACGCAGGGCTGTGGGCTCCATCCCCAGTAGGGGGCGTGCAGGAGGCAGCCCGTCGGTGTTTCTCTTTTTCCAAAACAAAACCCAAAAAACTAGCTTTGGGAAGGCCCACTGGTTCACAAAGGATTCGGCAACCTCAGCGGGTCTGGAAGGCAGCTAATTCTGGAGGAGCAGGCAGAGTGGCAGGTGCAGGTGGGGACACGCCGTCCAGATCAGCACAGGAAGGAGGAGCGCGTTCAGACTCAGTGTACCTATTTCTTAGCACACCCCTAGCGAAGTGCTGCTAACGCGGGCGCCGAGGCCGGACTCCGGGGCGTCCTCACCTGCCTCGCCTGGGCCCGGACGCGCATGCCCGGGAAGCGCGCGGCTCCGCCCAGCCAGCACGTCAGAGCCGTCACTTAGCGACGCCTGTGGCCGACGACACCGTGCGCTGTCCGAGGACGCCTCCCCACCCTCTAAGCCAAGACACAGGCACAAGCCTTCCCAGCGACCGACCGCTGCTCGCCTCCCCCTCAGACGTCACCCTCAGGGAGATGGGCGGGGCGACGCCTCTGACTTCCGGGGGAAGTGACGTGCGCACGTAGCGGTGCGGCCTGCCGGCGGCTGTCCGGATTTGGGCTGGCATGTCGGTTCTGAGGAGCCTGGCGCCTTTCGTTCGCGGTGGAGGCAGCCTCTTCAGAGGCCTCCGCGCGCGGGCACCTGGAAGCGGAGTCCGTCAGTGAGTGTTGGCCGGGGGTGGGGGCTCTGCCTTTTTCTAACGGAAAGCACCAGCCTCGGGGACGTTCTCACCTTGACGCTGGGTGCCTGGGGCGGATCCCGGCCTGGCAGCGACCCCCACCCCGAGGCATGCTGGGACTTGTAGTCCGACTGTGCGCGCGGGGCGGTGCCTCCCCCTCCCCCTCCGCGACGCGGGGGCCTGAGGGAGCTGCTTACCGTGGGGAAGTGGGCGGCTGTACGCCTGCCAGATATTGAACTCTGGGTGGGAGGACACGTCCCTGCACCAGGGCGATCCTGCGCTCGGGAAATTCATAGTTGGCCGTGGACACAAGCTGAAGCTGGTCTGCAAGCAAGAGCAGAAGTTGGGGAAGGGTGGTCCAAGCCGAGGAAACCGCCGGTACTGTGTGTGTAATTTTTCTTCTTTATTGATTTTAGAAAGAGAGGAAGGGAGAGGGAGAGAGAGAGAGAAACATCGATGAGAGAGAACATCAACTGGCCGCCTCCTGCACGCCCCCCACTGGGGATCAGGCCCACAACCTGGGCGTGTGCCCCGACCGGGAATCCAGCCGGCGACCTCTTGGTGCAGGGGCCAGGGCTCAAGCGCTGGGCCACACTGGCGGGGCAGGTGTGTGGAGTGGCAGAGGGGAGGCTGGAGGCCTGAGGGCCCAGGGAGGGAACAGTAGAGGGCCCTGATGCCTGGCGGGAGAGTTTAAAACAGCAGACGGTACTTGAGCGCTTCCACCCTGTCGTGTGGTCAGATTAGGATTCCCCAGGCCGCAGGTTGAAGAATTAGTTCTCTAAGGCAGGGGACTGTAGGCGACCACCGGAGACAGGTGGGAGAGGACAGAGCCAAAAGGGGATGCTTCGGCAGTATCAGAATTTTTCTTTTCTTTTAAAAAATAGATTTATTTTATTATTTTTTTTTTATCCTCACCCGAGGACATTTTTCCATTCTTTGTTCAGATAGAGCAGGAGGGAGAGAGAGGAAGAGAGAGGGAGAAAAACATCGATGTGAAGGGACACATCAAGTGGCTGCCACCCGGGCCGGGGACAAACTGCAACCGAGGTACGTGCCCTTAGCAGGAACCGAACCCGGGTCTCTCTGTACCGCAGGCCGACGCTCCAACCCTTGAGCCAAACCGGCCAGGGCGAAAAAAATAGATTTATTTTTTTAGAGCAGTTTTAAGTTCAGGGCAAAATTGAGCAGGAGGTACAGAGAGTTGCCATATACCCACACATGCCTCACCTCCTCCATTGTCAACATTGCCCATCAGAGTGGTGCACTTGTAACAATGGGTGAATCTACGTTGACACAGCACTGCCGCCCAAAGTCCACATTTTACCTTAAGGTTCATTCTTGCAACACTAGAATTTAGGGGAGTGAGCACAAGAGTCACCTGGTGAGGTATGTAGCCCAAGACACCAACTGGAGAGCATAGCGCTGGAATGCCAAGGGAGGGCACACCTACCAAAACAGGCTGGTAGTGCCGAGAGATTCAGCAAGAGCAGGATGGAAAATAGTACCTTGGATTCTTCCAGGTGGTGTTGGAGGGTCCATAGACCATCATATACACTTTACCAAGAGGGAGTACAGGTTAGTGCCTGCCACATTAGCTGTATCACTTGGGACGTTTCTTGGTCTCATTGTGCCTCAGTTTTATAATCTATATAATGGGGATAATAACGTTAACTTCTGGAGAATCGAGTGAATTACAATTCTCTGAAGTGTTTTAGGACAGTTGCTTGTGCATGGTAAGTAGTATTTAACTGTTGTGAGGGAACTGAGACTCAGGGAAATTAAAGAAGTGACTTGCCTAAAGTCACATGTTTATTAAGGATATGGAGCTGGGGTGGGAAGAAGGAAAAGGCCTATGTGACCTGAGTAAAGACAGCAATGAAGAACTACCAAGGAGTAGCTCTTGACCCTGCACAGGGAGACTTTGGGGTGCTTCTCTTCACTGAGGTCTTGGTACTTCCATAACACACGCTGATTTCACAGTGTGAGTGATCATTAAGTGAGTAAATATTTGTGGAGCATCTTCTAGATTCCAGGATTCTTTCTAGGTGTTGGGGATAGAGCAGAATACAAGATAATGGAGCTACTGTTCTGGAGAGAGGACACAAGTAGGAAAGAAAGAACATGTTTAGGTACTATTAAGTGGCATGAAGATAATAAAGAGAAGGATTAATCTGGCGTGTCCAGCATAGGGGTGGATGGGTTGCGGTATGCAGGATGCTATAGGAATGCATGCTTGAGAGTTTTACTTGAACTAGGACCTGAGTGAGAAGTCAGCCTTGCAAGGATGCCAGAAAGAGCCTCTCACGCAGGCTCTGAGTGCTGCTGCTGGCCTGCAAGCCTGGGAGCTGGAGCAGGGTGAGCAGAGGGGAGAGTGGTAGAGGTGGGGTCAGACCAGCTGGGGGTCAGATTAGGGAGGGTTTTGTAGGTGACAAAGGCAAGTGGGATGACATACAGGTTTTTTTTTTAATCCTCACCCGACGACATTTTTGCATTTATCTTCAGATAGAGTGGGAGGGAGAGAGGGAGGAAGAGAGAGAAACACTGATGTGAGAGAGATGTAAGAGAGACACATCAGCTGGTTGCCACCCACACTCGCCCACACAACCCCAACCCGGGCCAGGGACAAACTGCAACCGAGGTACGTGCCCTTAGCGGGAACCGAACCTGGGACTCTGGTCCGCGGACCCATGCTCTTAACCACTGAGCCAAACCAGCCAGGGCCATATAGGTTTTCAAACCTCAAAGTAATATGATCTGGTTTATGTTTTAAAACGCAACATTCACAGAGAGTTATGGTGCATTTATGTGTTTAAACTTGAAAAATTCTGGTTTGGAATGCTCAGTTATTTCAAGTCATAGTTAAAACAACATGTCACTCTAGTAATAATGAAATGTGGAGAATGGGTTTGAACAATAATTCTCTAATCTTGTTTACTGAATTTAACTGATGGGCCCTTACAGCATCTAAAACCTATCAAAGAGAAAGCCTATTGTTACAATATTCTCTTTCCCATAAAGCAGTCTTTTAATAAAGATTGTAATAGACCAGAAGACATAATTTGCTTTTGAAACAGATGACTAGAATAGAACAAAATTAATTGGCTTATTTGTTTTTAACAGATAAGCTAGTGACTACTTACCACTATAGGTTCCTAGTCCCTTAACCGGACGGAACTCTTGGGGCCTGTTCCTCATTATCAACACATTCATATCTCTGATGCAAGATACATGAATATTCACTAAAGGAAAATCATCATTAGTCTCTTCTCATTTCAGTCCAGTTTTCACTGCTGACAAGTTTCAAGTGAGCTTATGAAAAATGAGTATTTTGAGGCACCGTGGAGCTCCATCATTCTGTGTTTTGTGGAGGAGATGAGAAATGTTAGCTTTACCTTTTGGATGTAACTCAGAGTTTTGGATGACTGAGTACTTTGCAGATGTAGAAGCTTCTTAACGTTCTCCTTTTGTCTCGTAGTGCTGGTGGCGGTGTGCACATCGAGCCCCGGTACAGACAGTTTCCCCAGCTCACCAGATCCCAGGTGATCCAGGCCGAGTTCTTCAGTGCAACCATGTGGTTCTGGATTCTCTGGCGCTTTTGGCACGACTCAGATGCTGTGCTGGTCAGTGCAGGAGAATAATTCTTTTTTGTGGGTGGGAGGATGGAAGAAATATTAATAGCTTAGGTAGTTTTTTTTTCCTGTGTCCAGTTGTGGTTTTGTTTTCCTCGGTTTTAGTTACCTGGGTCAATGTGATCTGAAAATATTACATGGAGAATTCCAGAAATAAATGATTTATAAGTTTTAAATTGTGCACCATTCTGAGTAGCATGATAAAATCTCAGTCCGTCCTGCTTTGTCCTGCCCAGGATGTGAAGTCCCTTTGTCCAGGGTCTCCACGCTGTATACATTGCCAGTTAGTAACGTAGCAGCCGTCTTGGTTATCAGATCGAGTCAGTTGTGGTATCACTGTGCTTGTGTTCAAATCATCCTTATCTTACTTGATAATGGACCCAAAGCACAAGGGTAGTGATGCTGGCAGTTCAGATCTGCCAGCTGTAAAGTGCTTGCTTGAAGGGGACAGGCATGTATGTATAGGGAAACACATTGCATGCTTAGGGTTGGTACTAGCCATGGTTTCAGGCATCCACTGGGGTCTTGGAACATATCCCCCGTGGGTAAGGGAGGACTGCTGTATGTCCCTTCACTGTCCTGTCCTGTGTGTATGCAGTAGTCTTGTTAATGAAACATCTCTCTCTCCTTTTCTTCTAATGGGTACACACATAGGTAGTACATGTCCTATGTTTTGTGTTAGTTTGCCATATTTGGAGGGAGATTAGAAACTAATTTTTTCACCTTCTGAACTAGGGGTTCATCAGTAGGTTAAGGTTGACACTTAAATTCTGTAAATGATTAATGTTATCTAGTCTGTCTGGAGGCCCAAGGCAGCCAAACTGGTATGGGATAGAGGTGGGCTTGTTTGTTTTGATGAGGGTAGTTAGTTACTGGTGACATTCTCAGCATGTTATTAGCTTCAAGTGAGCTTTTGTTGCATTTGCACTGACTCTGTTCTCTAGGAAATGACACCTTTAAGCCACTGAAATCTGTGCTTGTTGATCCACAATACTTTGAATTGTAGTCAATTTGGTGAAAAAATGTTCAGCAGTGTACACGTTGCAGAAGCATCAGGTTGATAATACCCCTTTTCTCCTAGAACTCCTCTGTGCTATTGCCCAGTAGGAGCCACCTAGTGTCTCTGCACTGGCAGCACGTGGACACCTGTTTCACTGTAGGTCAGCTCTCAGGAGGATATGTAGCTATTTGGCAAGAGACGGTGGTGCAGCCAGATGCCCCCAGATTAGGACCGAAGATGGCCGAGTCCCCCTGAGGCTCCCAGGTCTCCCAGCAGGAATGACAGGACAGTTTGAGACATTCATTGTGTTTTGCCAGGGCTTCAAGACACTGTTAAGATGTGGGGTATCTTTGAAATCTGTTGCCTCCATTCTCGCTGTCTTCCATCACAAACACATACTCATGTCCTGCCTGGTAGCTTCAAAATAGGCAGGCTTTTCAAACTCAGGCCACAGCATGTAGTGAACAGAATGAAGAACAGTGGGACCGTTGAGTAAAGTAGTGGAATTTGTACCTGTGGCATGTCAAGGGCTCTGTATGTTACAGCCTTATCACGTTTTTCCTTTCAAGATTTCTTTTTAAACATAATTGTCTGTAGATTATTGACTTTTTCTTTTTAATGATGTCACCAGGGTCACTTTCCATATCCAGATCCTTCCCAGTGGACAGATGAAGAATTAGGTATCCTTCCAGATGATGAAGACTGAAAGTGTGGACTCAACTCTTTACCGGTGAGTATGCCCCAAATTTCTTTTTTTTTTTTTTTTTGGTTAATCCTCACCCGAGGATATTTTTCCATTGATCTTTTTAGATAGAGTGGAGGGAGGGAGGGAGAGAGAAACATTGATGTGAGAGACACACATCAGTTGGTTGCTTCCTGCACTAACCTGCAAGACTGCGACCCTTCAGTCCGAGGGCCAACTCCCTAACCACCAAGCCAAACTGGCCAGGGCCAAATTTATATTTTTTGAAAGTTATATTTACTTTTTGTCACAAACATGTTTTGACTTTGTACCTATGATGGTCTCAAAGAAAGATGCACATTCTAACAGTACGAAGAACAATGAACTGTATCGTGTCTAATTTCTTCTTTTTTTAAAACAGGTTTTTATTGATTTGAGAGAGAGAGGAAGGGAAAGAGAGAGAGAAACATCAGTGTGAGAGAACCATTGATCAGATGCCTCTTGCATGCTCCCTACTGGGGTTCGAGCCCACAACTCGGGCATGTGGCCCTGGCTGGGAATCAAACTGGCTACCTCTCAGTACGTGGGATGATGCCCAACCCATTCAGCCACACCGACCAGGGCTTGTGTGTCTAATTTCTGAATTTAGTATTTTAACATTTGTTGCTACCATCCTGCCCAGTGTGGTCTCATCTTTTTCATTGTATATCTAAATATTTTTTTAAAATATTTTTTCTTTATTGATTTTTAGAGAGAGAGGAAGTGAGAGGGAGAGAGAGATAGAAACATCGATGAGAGAGAACATCGATTGGCCGCCTCCTGCATGCCCCCCACTGGGGATCAGGCCCACAACCTCGTCATGTGCCCTGACTGGAAATCGAACCAGCGACCACCTGGTGCATGGGTTGCGCTCAACCAGTGAGCCACACCAGCTGGGCTTCATTGTATATTTTTTTGAAGTTCTTTTCTCCCTAAGTTGATGTTACAATTTAGAGACCCATTTGTCCATCAAAGGCTTTTAAGTAACTACACAGGGGTTACCGGGGTGGACGAGACAGATGGGAGCTTACAGTGTATATCTGTAGTTGCAAAAGTACTGCGGTATGTTACGATATGGATTTGCATGGAAATTAACTTTTAAACAGTAACAGGTTATGACCCTTTCATTTTCCAGATCAGGAAGTCAGTTTTCCTTCTTTCAAAAGGAAGATACTAGGAAGCGTGCCTTTCCCTACAACCCCTCAAGGGTTAAGACATTCTCATTTAACATGTTTTTTTTTAATCTTCACCCGAGGACACTTTTTTTTCATTTTTTGTTCAGATAGAGCAGAAGGGAGAGAGAGAGAGAAACATCGACGTGAAAGGGACACATTGAGTGGCTGCCACCCGCACTACCCAACCAGGGCCGGGAACAAACTGCAACCGAGGTACATGCCCTTAGCGGGAACTGAACCCGGGTCTCCCTAGACTGCAGGCTGACGCTCTAACTGCTGAGCCAAACCGGCCGGGGCTTATTTAACATGTTTTTAAATGAATCATTGCCCAGTTTAATTGCCATCATTCAGAATGCCTTGGAAATTGTTTTAAAGGATAAGAAGCATTAAATGATAATTGAGTGTTCCCATTAAATTGTATTATTTATATTGCCTTTATAATTTTAATTAGAAGTAGCTTATTGGCATGAAAATTATAGCAGTTTTTGGATACATAGGGAGGAGGGGGATAGGAAACATGTCACCAAAGGTCAGGCAGTTAGGCTGTTTTACAGCCTGTATGTCTCTGGGATTGTTAGGGACAGTGAGAGGTCCCAGTCCTTCCCAGGCCTCCTGCTTCCCCTGTTAATGTGTCTGCCAGCACTAACCTCTTCCTGTCCTCTTACAGATTTCCAAGTGTTCCCATACACTGTCACTGACATTTTGTTTTGATAGCTAGGCTGTTACAAGCCCTTTGAGAGAGGAAGGTGATTTTGCTTCCCTCCTCTATAAGGCTACTCATATGTTTGGTGCTCAGTGGATACTTGAATGAACAGAATTATGGATTGGAATTACTGAAAATAAAAGTACCTAAAGCTTTCTACTTTTGTTTTTCTGCAGGAGCCAGGTGAGAATTTCAAGAAATTATGGACTTCATATTGTATATTGAAGTTACAAATTAAAATGTTTTGATCACGAATGAGGAACTGAGTTATGGATGTTTCTGATGACAACCACCCTCTATGGATTATTTCCTGTGCCAGCTTCTTGCAGGCCCTTTCAGTGGATCCTCTTGGGACCCCATGGTGCAGGGAGCCATTAGCTCCATTTATCAGTGAGGGCGTCGAGGCTCAGGCTCAGGGATGAAGTAACTTGCTTAGGGTCACTCACTGATGGGTAGGGACATCAGGTCTGACCCGCACTGTACAGTGTTATACTGCCTGCCTCCTTTGCTCATGTCTTCGTCATATATATGTTGACAGTTAATGTGAAAACTTGCTATTTCTCTGTTGCTGGTATGTACTTGCCCTGAGTGTACAGAGCGTAGAGGTCAGGGCAGTCCATTTATTGTTTGTGTATCTCTTGTGGGCTGGGCACTGTGTTCAGTGGAACTTGTAGGAAATAACTAGGAATTCTTAGGGCTGGAGGAATGGGAGTCAAGGGTGAAATGGATATTTTACTTTTTCTAAAATTTGTCTCAAAGTACTTTCCAACTGTCTGTAGCATCAGAGTTCTGAGAGTAGTTAGGGCAGTGTTTTCCTCTAGCCACAGACAAGAATCTACAGTATAGAGTGGCTCAGTGACTTGCCTAGAAGCATAACTATTCATATTTTAATTTAGGTTTCTGACCATCTAGGCACTGGGAATACAATGCTAAACAGGACAGATAAGATTCCATTCATAGGCAGCTTATTTTAGGGAGGAAGGACAGACAAGAAGTAATTTTCACTAAGCACTGTGAAGGAAATAACGTTGGGTGATGTGCTAAACACGGGCGGTATTTTGGGTGAGCAGGGAGAGCATGTGCTGAGATCTGAACTGAAGGAGGAACCAGCTGTGTGAAGGTCTGGGTAGAGCTGTAGGGACACGGAACAGCAAGAACCAAAGTCTAGTTGAACCAATGTCAGCATGTTTAAGGAACAGAAAAGGTCCAGCGGCGTTCTGGCCGGTGAGGAGAGGTTGGGGTAGGCGAGGCTGCTAGTTCGTGGTTGCAGGTTTAGGTTTGTGTGCAATGCAGTGAGCAGCTTTGGTAGGCCCTGAGCAGGGGTGGGTGGGGATGTGATTTGATAAGCGTTCCTAGTCCTCAGATTTGCGCTCCCTCTTCAGTCCTCAGTTAGTTGTCAGTGGGCATAATGACAGTCAAAGCTGAAGCACGTGGCAGTTTCACCCTCCCTCATGGCCAGCTCCAGCAAGCTGGCGACATTCCTCTTGCTTTTGTGTTTATGCACCTGTGAAAGAGTGAGCTGTCTGAGCTGATAAATATTTAGTCTAAAAGACCATCAGATCGCTGTACTTATTAGTTCTCATTTTTGTTGTCCCTTGCCCCACCATATCAACAGTTTTTGGGAAAGAATACAATTTATAACAGTTAACTCGAGTAGGATAATGCCATTTGTTCTTTTCTTTAGAAACCAATAAAAATTGCTTGACTTGAAGTCAAAGATAACTTAAAAACCAGTCTTCTCAACTCAGCCAGTGTGGCTTCCACATGCTGGATCCTTTTTTCCATAACTGGGCCGGGAAACCAGTTTGAGCTGATGCAGAAATTGTCCTCAGCCTTCTCTCAAAGGAACATGCCTCCATCCTGCTATTACAGCTTATGGGAAAATACTTAAGTGGAGAGGGTCCCAAAGAGGTGCTTACTATATTTGATGGATGGCTATATATATATAGTTAAATAATAGTGAAAACTATGGGCCAGGCACTGTGGTCAGCACTTTACATGTGTTAGTTTATTAAATCCTTACATTCTTCCCATTTTTTTTAATTTATCTTTATTGTTGGATGTAAAATATATTGCAGATGTTCCACATTTTTCCCCCATTGACCCCGTCCTCCCCACTCCCGCCCCCCTCCCACCTTTCCCCACACTATTGTCTTTGTCCATTGGTTATGCATATAAGTTCTTTGGTTTATTTCTCCCCCCCCCCAACCCCTTTCCCTTTGAGGTTTGTCAGTCTAGCAATGAGTTTGTACTTCTTAATCCCTTCCCCTTTTTCACCCATTCCCCCAACCCCCCTCCCAACTGGCAACCAACAAATGTTCTCTGTATCTATGTTCTACCTGTTCATTTTGTTTGTAGATTCCATTGTTGATAGATATGTATTCATTGCCATTTTGTTTGTTCATACATTTTATCTTTTTCTTCAAAAAGACCCTTCATCATTGCATATAATAACGGTTTGGTGGTGATGAACTCCTCTAACTTTTTGTCTGGGAAAGTTTTTATATGTTCATCGATTCTAAATGACAGCTTTGCAGGATAGAGTAATCTTGGTTGTAGGTTCTTGCTTTTCATCACTCTGAATATTTCTTGCCACTCCCTTCTGGCCTGCAAAGTTTCTTTTGAGAAATCAGCTGACAGCCTTATGGGAACTCCCTTGTAGGTAACTAGCTGCCTTTCTCTTGCTGCTTTTAAGATTCTCTCTTTGCCTTGAACCTTTTGCATTTTGATGGTGTATCTTGGTGTGGGCCTCTTGGGGTTCATCTTGTTTGGGACTCTCTGTGCTTCCTGGACTTGTATGTCTGTTTCCTTCACCAAGTTAGGAAAGTTTTCTGCCATTATTGCTTCAAACAGGTTTTCGATTTCTTGTTCTCGCTCTTCTCCTTCTGGCACCCCCAAGATGCGAATCTTGGCACGCTTGAAGTTGTCCCAGAGGCTCCTTACACTATCCTCATTTTTTTAAATTCTTTTTTCTTTTTGCTGTTCTGATTGGGCGTTTTTTGCTTCCTTATATTCCAAATCGATGGTTTGCTCCTTGGATTTACGTACTCTATTATTGAATCTGTTTAAATTATTCTTTATTTCAGTTAATGCCTCCTTCAATTCTAACTGTGTATCTATGATTTCTGACTGGTCCTTTTTTATGCTCTTGAGGCCCTGACTAAGTTCACTGAGGTTCTCACTAAGTTCATTGAGCATCCTTATAAGCAGTATTTTGAACTCCGCATCTGTTAGGTTGCTTATCTCCATTTTGCTTAGTTCTTTTCTTGGGGTTTTGTTCTGTTCTTTCATTTGGGACCTGTTTCTTTGTCTCCTCATTTTGGCTGCCTCCCTGTGTTTGTTTCTGTGTATTACTTAACGAGAGGTATGGGGCTCACTGAGACCAGGTGCTGCTCGTTTGAAAGAATTTAGGAAAAACCTGAAGCAGGACCCAAGACAGGCCAATCCTATGGTTAAGCAAGTGGCAACAGCTTGGGTGGGCTTGAAAGTTGGGTGGGGTGGGGCGGGGCCTCAGGGAGTTAGCAGGGCGGGGCTACCAGTGTGAGCCAGGTTGCTGGAGTCCCAGATGTGGCAGCTGTCTGCTGCCCCCGGGAAGGGCTCACCAAAGGAACAAAGGCCTCTGAAAGCACGTTTGTCCCGGAGAAAGCCCCCTCTCCAGCCCTCGCTCCAGTGCCAAACAGCTCAGTTCTTCCCTGTATGACTCTGGTGCCCCTCGAGCTGCCTCCCCTCCAAGCTTAGAGGGAGTGAGTCCGATAAGTCCCTGCGCGGGCCCTTTAAGGAGCTGCCTGGTGCTCCAGCCGCCTCAGCCTCCCTGAGCCTCAGTTCCCACTGGTTTTTCCAGCCAGAAGTGATGGGGATTCTCTTCCTGGCACTGGAACCCTGAGCGGGGCACCTGGTGTGGGACAGGGACCCCTCAGTCCTCAGGAAGGACCTTCCCAGCCGAGGTGTCCTGATTTTTATCCGCCACACTTGGGTGTGGGTCGCACCGCCACCCCTCGCGCCTCCGCCCCTCCTACCAGTCTGGATGTGGCTGCTGATTTAATTCCGTAGTTGTAGGACTTCCATTCAGCTGGATTTCAGGCGGTTTTGAATGATGGTTGTTCTGTAGTTTAGTTGTAACTTTGATGTGGTTGTGGGAGGATGCGATACCACGTTTACCTATGCCGCCATTTTGACCGGAAGTCCACATTCTTCCCATTTTATAAATGAGGACGCTGAGCTACAGGTGGATTAGGTAACTTGCCCAAGCTCATACAGCTAGTTAGAGCTGAGGTTCAAATCCTGGTTGGCTGGATCTAGGCTAAGCCAGCTTACCTCAGTTAATACAGCATTGTGTAAATCTTCATGACCTATTCCAAGAAATAATTGTACACTGTGGTCTGAAATCCAAAAGTTTTATGAAACAGTACTGATGTTTTCTATTGTACATTAAAAAATGATGGTTGAGAGACTGATTTTACTGCTCACTAATGGGTCTCAATCTGCAGCTTGAAAAAAACTTAACTCAGGCATTGCAGTCAGCGTATGGACGGACTCACAACTCTACCATTTATTAGCTGTGAGTTTGGGCAGATTACTTATTTGATCTATGCCTCAATTTCTTCATTTGTACATGGATTAACTAGATCAGTGGGTTAGGCCTTAGAATCATGTCTGGCATGAAGGAAATACTCTCTAAATGGAAGTAACTTGTTTCTAGGTCTAAGCTAAATTCACAGTGACTCCTGAATCCCAGTTTGATTTTTATAGAAAAGCTTCCATGTAGAGACTTGGCTGTAACCAGACATCCCAGCAGATTCAGGGCTACTCCTTCCCTCCACCTAAAACAAGACAGACATTTAGGATGCCTCCCTTCTTGATGAGGTGCTAAAGGTACAACGTTTTAGGGTGTGGCTGGTAGGTGGAGAGATGTACCTTCATAAATGGAAAAGTAAGTGGTGAAGGAATTATCAGTGGCAACAGAGAAAATCAAGTGTCAAATTTTAATACAAATTTGTAAGTTTCCTGTGGAGTTTTGAGTGTAAAGAACACAATGGGTTATCTAGTCAAGGTAGAGACGGGAGGTATTGTATAAGGAACACCTGTTGTGTGCACATTTCAGGAAGGTACAGAAGTCACCTTGGTTCTACTTGCCACTAGAAATATTCTGTAGAAGAGGTTACTCTGGTTGTGTGCTGCCACCCTCTCATCAGGAGTGTCATCAGAACAACTGCAGTAGGGGGAGCGGGAGCTGCTTCACCTGCTGTTGATCTGCCTCAG